GCTGAAGGCGGCCGTCGGGCAGCTGGGGGAGAAGCTCCGGCAGGTTCTGACCTTCAGCTGGGGGGGGGGTACCGCACCAGGGTGGAGGTCCTGCTGCCCCCGCCCCCCAGGACCAGAGCCCAGTTCCTGAGGCTGTTCAGGGAGGTCCGGCTGGACCCGCGCAGCGCCCGCGGGAACCTGCGGCTGTCCGAGGGGAACCGCAGGGCCACGCTGGGGGAGGAGGAGCAGCCGGACAATGGCCGCCCAAACGGGCCTCAGGAGGGAGAACAGGTAGAAGAAGCTGGTCCCGGTCCGGGATCTGGGTCCCATCGGCCGCCGATATTAGCAAAAAGCTCCAGATCTAGACTCCAGATTCCAGTCTGATCCCACATTAGTGTTAGCATTAGCATCTGTAACCCACAGGTCTGTGTCCTAACTATTAAGTTATCAGAGCATTAGCATTAGCATCAGTAACCCACAGGTCTGTGTCCTAACCATTAAGTTATCAGAGCATTAGCATTAGCATCTGTAACCCACAGGTCTGTGTCCTAACTATTAAGTTATCAGAGCATTAGCATTAGCATTAGCATCAGTAACCCACAGGTCTGTGTCCTAACCATTAAGTTGTCAGAGCATTAGCATTAGCATCTGTAACCCACAGGTCTGTGTCCTAACCATTAAGTTGTTATCAGAGTAAATCCCTGTTCAACATGAGTCTGACAACTAAGTAAGTAGATAAATAACTTTAGACTTTAACACATGCTCTGATAGGCCGGGATCGGATCGGGACATCCCTACACCTCGTTATTAGATTACATCCATATTTTTTTACATTTCAGGCCTTCAACGCATTCAGAAAATGTTTCCAAAATTTTTTGTTCGAAATTCGTAATTTGGTGTTAGCCAGCTGACCAAAAGTAGCTTACCCGATTGGTTCTATTCTGTCATGTGGGCTCAAGCCAGGCTGGTCCCGATCCGATATCTGGATCCTATCGGCCGCCGATATTCACAAAAAACTGTGGAGAAAATGCAGATCCAGACTCCAGATCCAGTTTCTCTTAAAGTCCGATCCAGCATTAGCATTAGCATTAGCATCTGTAACCCACAGGTCTGTGTCCTAACCATTAAGTTGTTATCAG